CACCCCCTTAGGTGTGATTGATGACAGAGGGAAGTTCATCTACATCACCCCGGAGGAGATGGCGGCCGTGGCGCAGTTCATCAAACAGCGAGGCCGAGTCTCCATCGCCGAGCTGGCCCGGGCCAGCAACTCCCTCATCAACCTCCAGCCCGACAGCAGAGCTGCTGCTCCAACTGTGGCCTGAGAAAAGCACTGCAGGAGCTTGACCTCTGAATGAATAAACCCCCTAATTGAAAGCAAACAAGAGCCTCTCTGGTCCCGCTCGCGGTGCTCGAAGGTAGGACGGGCTTTTGAAGCGTCGGCTGCAAAGCTGCTCACAAGTTGTGCTTTTCACTCTGTCAGAGCTGGGATAAAATATGACATCTGATTGTACAGCAGGGGCTGCCAGCACTCTGATGGGGCTGTAGCCCAGGAATATCAGTAATTTATACCTCAGCAGTGAGTCCCCTGTGACTGTACCCAAACTTCATATTGTTTGCAGATTTTGATGTCTGTGTCAAGTAGATTCAGGTCTGACTGCACTCAGAATTCTCGCTCTGCTCTTTAACTTCGTGGCAGTGAGGGACACAGCCCAGGAAGATAGGTGTGTAGGTTTTATCTGCTGTATCCACACTGGAAGGACAGAGTGAAAAGAAAATACTCTGTGTCTTTGTTCTCACTGCAATATATCCTGAAACTCTGGAAGGAGTGGTTGCTCTGTTGTTAAAACTTCCAGAGGCTGTTTCGGACAACCTTTGCTATGTAAATATGTTTTCCTTTGTTTAAATAATACAAAAAGTTTGCTTGCAGACAAGCTGCATCATTTTCCTGTAGCCAAGAGACAGAAACCCCTCCAGGGAAAGGCTAAACTGGCCTCATTTATTGTGCAGGCCAGTTCTGCTGATACCAACCAGATTCTGATGATTCATCCTTTGAAGTCAGAGCCAGCTCAGAGTGTCTGAAGGCCTCAGACACCCCCACCCTGTGGCCTCTGTGTTCTGGATGTTTGGGGGTTTTTAAATAAAAGCTTCAGACACTGTGAGTCATGCAATTAATGCTGCAACTAAATGATTATTAATGTATTAACTGTAGGGGTCAGTGTATTTCCTGCATAAGAATATTTTTTTTTTTTTTTTTAATAATTTGTTAATTCTCCTCTCTGAAATCAACAGGATTTATGTGGATAAACAGTAATTGGGGAGGGCAGGAGGTTTTGTTTCTGCCAAACGTAGAGATTACTTGAGTGGACTAAAAGCCACGTTATCAGTGGGATGAGACAGCAATAAAACAAAGGGAGGAAACATATTTCCTTTTAATCTCTGCACTGCTGCTGGATGGGGGAGTGCAGGAGTGTGGAGTGACAGTGCAGCACCACATGTTGGTGGGAGAGACCAGCACATCCTCAGTGTTGTGCAGCCACAGCCAGCAAAGAGGTTCCTTGGAATTCGAGGCTTGTGAGGTCTCTTCATTATCGATTAGTTATTACATTTTAAAAATTACTTGGATTTGTCAAGATTTTGCTGTTCTGTCTTTAAACTATTCTTGTAATAAAAGCAACGATATTGAAAGGATTGCAGAGGTTTGTGTTAGAAATGGGCACAGCTGGGGTAAGATGGGACCGTGTGGCTCTGCCAGCAGCTGCTCTGCTGCCTTAATCCTCTGCCACCATTCCCATTCCTCTTCTTTTGCACTCTGTTGCATCATATCAACGTTTTTCAGTTAAGGAGCATCTTGTGTTTTCTAGGAATCCCCTCAAAAAATCCAAGGAAGCAGTTTGAACCCCGGAATGCAATTGCTTGGGGCTGTTTGTTGGGATGGTTTATAAAGTGAAGCGATTCAAACCTGTGCTGCTGCTTCAGTCTGTGGAGGGGGAAGAAATTCAGGGCTGTGCCCCTAAAATCACTTCACTGGGAGAATTCATAAATCATGAGATAGCACACATTTCATAGATCCCAAAGATAGGGAAGGGAGGGAAGAGCTGCTCCCTCCCTGCTGGCACTGATTTAGGGAACACCCTGGTGTGTCCTGGCTGAGCTGGGGGTTGTCCCCACTGTCCTGGGTGAGGGTGGGGGCTGAGGGAGCTGGTGGAGAGGTGGAGCAGTCTGTGGGCACTGGAATGCTCTGCTCTCCTCTGCTCCTTCCCCAGGCTTGAAGTATCAAACTGTCTTTATTCCTTATCTCCCTCTGGCCTTCCAGTGCCTAAAGGGGCTCCAGGAGAGCTGGAGAGGGACTGGGGACAAGGGATGGAGGGACAGGACACAGGGAATGGCTTCAAAGTGACAGAGGGCAGGGATAGATGGGATATATGGAAGGAATTCTGGGCTGTGAGGGTGGGTAGGCCCTGGCACAGGTTGCCCAGAGAAGCTGTGGCTGCTCCTGGATCCCTGGAAATGTCCAAGGCCAGGTTGGAGCAACCTGGGCTGGTGGAAGGTGTCCCTGCCCATGGCAGGGGTTTGGAGCAAGCTGGTCCTTCATCTCCCTTCCAACCCATCCCATGATTCTGTGGTCTCAACCCTTGAGTTTTCCCACTTTTCCCCCTCTGATTCCTTCCCTCATCCCAGCCCGGGCTGTGAGGGCTCTGTGGGGCTCAGCTGCCAGGTGGGGTTAAGCCACCACAGCCTGGTTCAATCAGCAGCAAAACACAGGGCAGTAAAACACTGGTAGAATTGTAAAGACAGTGAAATACTGGGCAGCACTGGAGATTGTGGGCTCCTCACTTTGGGATGATCCATATGCAAATCCCTCTTCAAAATTAGCCTTGGGCAAGGACACCTCCTCCCACTGCCCCTCTGTCAGAGGGAAAATGGTCTCAATATTTTGCTTCCTGCTGCTTTGGCCAATCTGCTTTTATAATTTTTTTAAAAATCTAGAACATCCACCTATTATTTGACTTTCAAAAAAATTAATTCCCTGTTTTCTGTTAAACTTTTCCCATGCATTATGCAGCATTTTTCCCCATGTTCTTCCTCTGAAGTAGCACAGGAGCTCCCAGGTACTCTGGCTGTACATGGAAGGAATAATAATAATAATTACTGGTTCATTTGAGTGAGCTTGTCCTAATTTTGCCATTCCATCTGAAGGCAAGGGCCAAAAAAAATTAGATTGAAAACCTTCTGTTCAGATCACACAAGGTTGGATCTAACCAAGGAAAACTCCGGCTTCTGTTTCAGCTGAAAAATTTAGTCTGTGTGAAGCATTTACAGGTTAAAAAATAAATGTAAAAGCAACAAATGTCACAGCTTTTCATTTTATTTCTTTGTGGTACGAATTTTAGAGCCCGTCAGCCTCAGGGTTTCCAGGTTTTCTCTGTAACTATGGATACTGGGAACAGACTTGGGGTTTTTTTTTTTCTTCTTGTTTGGGGTTCTTTTTTAATTCACATTGTATGTTCATCCTCTTAGGAAAATGCTAAATATCACAAGATGGCATTGAATCACGAAGCTGCAGCGTTCCCCTCTGCACAGGAACAGCCACGGTCTGCATTCCCAGATTTCTCTCTTTTCCACCCCAAAAGCAAATGCAGATCGTTAATGCCAATCTGTGGCTGCAGGGATCCCTGCAGAAGAGCCCTTATCCAGGGAAGTTTTGTGCCTGCAGCACTGTGGGGATGGGACTTCAACTCTTTTTATCTTCTCTGAGATTAAAAATTTAAAAAAAAAAAAAAAAAAAGTGAAGCTCGAGTAAAACAAAGGAATGGGGGAAAAATCTCCTTCCTGCCCTAAAGACAAAGGAACATTTTCTGATCTCTGGATACATTTTCTGTCCCTGGGGACAAGTCTTTCTTACCAGGAGTGGCATCAGCCAAACTGCTGCTTGGGACCGTTTTTGGAGGGTTCTCAGCTGGCCTGGGACAAGTCCCCACACTGGTGGTGCCCCAGCCCTTTCCAGCCCACCTGGGCCAGGTTGAGTCTTTGCCTTCTTCACCCATCCTGGTGTTCCAGGCCAGGCTGGACGGGGCTTGGAGCAACCTGGACTAGTGGAAGGTGTCCCTGCCCAGGGCAGGGGGGTTGGAATGAGATTGTCTTCGAGGTCCCTCCCAACACAAACCATTCTGTGATTTCTTCACCCTTCAAAAGGCTTCTTGTGCCAGGATGGGCTCGTTTGGGGGTGAGAGAGGAGCAGCTCCAGCTTTGTTTGCTGACCAGTAAACCCAGTTCGTGTCCCCTTTTTGAGTCAAAGATCTGCACGTCCCTAAACCCCACAGGTTCTGTGCAGAGCTGCACCGTGGCATGCAGAGAGACACAATTCCCTTGGGCCTCTCTTTCAGGCCGTTTTAGTGGCCTGAGATTTGGCTAAGTTGACCAAAAAGCAGGGTCAGAATGGTTGCAGGGAGGATCACACTGCTCAGAGACAAATGGGATGGGACGTGTGGGAGGGGTGGGCGTCTCATCTCCTAAAACACCTCCTTGGCCAGGTGGATCCGGGGGCGCTGGCAGATGATTTCCTGATTTGTCTCAGAGACTTCTGGTTTGTCTCAGAGGACAATTCCTGCCAGCATCAAGTTAAGGTCGTGGGACGGAGCACAAGGATGGCCTCGTTCCAGCCTGGCAGGGGACTCTGGGATCGGGAGCAGGCGCCGCAGTCACGGAGCAGGACGTGGTGTCCTGGTTTCTGTGGTACCTTTGGACAGTTCTCCCACACCAGAAGAGCTGGGGGACATTTGTGGGGGTTTTTTTTGGTTCCCCCATCCCCCTGCTGGGAAGATGCTCCTCTGGAATGCTGCGTGTGGGCTTCTCCCACTTCGTGTGAGCTCTTTGGGAAGGGCAGGGCTTGGATGGCTGAGAGGGGTCAGTGGGATCGTGGGGGGGGCGAGCTCTGAGCAAGGAGAAGGCTGTGATGGGACAATCACTGCAGGAGGTGCTGCTGGAGCTGGAGCTGTGCTGGCAGCACCAATAATCCAAACATCTCTCATCTGCTCCAGTGCAAAACCCCAGGGGTGGCCGAGGACACCCCACAGGAGCGGGAACGCCTTTCCCTTGGGGATTACAGCCCAGCACAGGGTCAGGTAACCCCCCCTCCCCCTCTAAAATCATTCAATCCCACAGTGAATTCTGGCCTTTGGCACAAACAATCCCACATTCCAGCTCTGGTCAGTTTGTCCCTGTAATCATCAGTCACAGTGTCTCCCACCACCTGCTCCCCAGCAGGTGTCTCGTGCCACCTGCACGACAAGGAGCCATCCACAGCCGAGGTTTCCATCCTGATGGAAGCAGCACTCAGCCCCGTTGTGCTGGGGTTCCTGTTCCCTGGGAGTGCTGCTGAAAGGAGAGGTGAGAATTATCAGGGAAAGTGCAGCAAAGCTGCAGCTCCTGGTCCTAACCCCGAGAAACGACGTTTCAGCTGCAGCTCTAACACGTCCCACGTTCATTGTGGTGCCTCCACACACACAGAGAAACCTCACACCCCTCCCCTCCCATCTGCATCCCGTGCTGCCTCTTCCATCAGGGCACTAGGGGTGGGGATTAACTCCTTCAAGGTGCTCTCTTGCAAGAGCAGCCACCTCCGAGCCACTCTCCATCCTTGAGCTGAACTCACCAACCCTGCAGAATCCTCCTAGGGAGCCCAGACCAGCAGAAGACGTGCCCAAAGTTCCCTTGAATGAAGCTACAGGGGCTGGTTTGGGCCTGATCGTGGCTTGTCCCAGCCCTGGGGGCAGCTCTGGGACCCTCAGCCAGGAGAGACATTGAGGGGCTGGAGCGTGTGCAGGGAAGGGAACGGAGCTGGGAAGGGGCTGGAGCAGCAGGAGGGGCTGAGGGAGCTGGGGGGGCTCAGCCTGGAGAAAAGGAGGCTCAGGGGGGACCT